CTCACAGTCTTTCCTGCCCGGGCTGGCTTTGAACCGTGATCCTCAGATCTCAGCCTCCTGAGTAGCTAGGATTACAGGCGTGAGCCACCAGCGCCCGGCACAACCTTTTTAAACAAGAGTTTCACTGCCATTTTCCACATCACTTCAAACTATGTAGCATAGGCTGGCATCAAATCTGATCCTTCTGCCTCAGCCTCTCAAGTGCTGGGATTACAGGCATGTACCACCATGTCTTCCTAGAAGTAACTAAAATTATGTTCTTCAATTATTCCAGCCACATTCGAAGTCCTGAACAGCAACACATGGCTACTGGCTATTGTATTAGCCAGCTAACATAGAGCAGTTTCATCATCAGCTACTGGAGAATGCTGTTTGAAAGCTTCTTGTTGCAAGATCCTTTGGCATGACCTGTCAGTGATTTCTTTAACAATTTTCAGTTACTCTTGGACTCCTGGAAAATAGTGTTGCCTTTTGCCTGCTGCTTTTCTGAACCAGGAATAAATCCAATCATTCCAAGGCTTAAGGTAGCTGAAGCAGAAAGCCTTGTTTATTTTTGGTCAGTGAGTCCAATGGTTCAGTGTGAGGGTGGTTATATTTAACTACTGAATTTATGCACAGCCATGCAGTGCCACCAGTTATAGTTCTTACAGTTGCATGGCATCGCCCTCCAGACGCCCAGCCACAGCTTGGACATATCCTTCCACAGCCACTGTCCGGACTTGCATATAAAGTCTATGAATAATAAAGAGCAGGTTTACTTTCTGGTCTCACAGGATTATCTCTTATTGGAAATTTGAAATTGGGTACTTTCAATCTACTAAATCAATAAAACTTTAGGAATTGTGGATCACTGTTCTCTTTTTAATACCAAAACCTCTGACTAAAGCCATCCAGACTCTATTTTATAAGTCATTTAATAGAGCATGGGATATTTTAAAGATTATCTTCCCTTGCCCTTATGCTCGTTAGGCAAGCACTTTACTATGGAGCCATATCCCTAGCCCAAATAGTTCTTTTTTGCAGGAAAAAAAGGTTTATGCTGCTTTAAGGGTAAAGGACCAGGAAACAAGACATTGATATTCACTATTAACACAAACAAGCCACACAGATGGCCAAGATAATAAGTTACTTATTGGTACCTGCCAAAATTGAAATTCTCTGAATTTTTGTCTTTAGAGAAGATTCAGCTTTTGACCTGAGCTACCTTGTAATGATCCATCACGTCCTGACAGCCTTGGTAGACTGCCTGACAAAGATCATCAGCTGCGTCAGGGCATTAAGACCCATTCTCTCACCTGTTTAAGTTTTAATGCTGCCTGGACAGAGGGTCTATTCTCCATCTGCTGGGCCAGTCTTCTGTTTCTGGCACTGGCTAGTTGCTGTTGTTGCTGCATCGAAGCCCGAATATTCACTGGCATCGGCTGTTTGTTCTTCATCATATTAGTAAAGCTTCAAGGTCGAACAAAATGGATGTTTAAATAAAAGCTTTATTACAAAACATTTATTGGCATTTTCATGGCTTGCTAGACCAGGAGCTCCAGATCCCACGAACTTTTAAGTAAAGTGGTACATTTAGATCAAGGTTGATGTGGGTTAAAGACTCCTCTGTTTCCACAAACTTGCAAGAATCAGAAACTTAGAAATGCAGCTAAGTGCAGCACAGTCAAGTGATAACAAGGGCTCAGGTAACAGCTCTCAGAGAGGTGGAAAGTATGAAAAACACGCAATAAGCAGATATGATGACAAGAGACAGAAGATGTAGTTTCAAAGACAAACGAAGAAAGCCTAAACCTTAGGGGACTCAAGGGTTCATTCTAAGGGCAAATATGAGGAAAAACTGAAGCGCCTTCAAAGCCTGCAAGAACACCCATATAAATTATAGGAGTGTATTATATTTTAGAATATATGTGCCACTTAGTAATGTGAATATAGTGCATCACACCCAGAGAGATAAGCACATATACTTTGAAAAAGCAAAGAAATAGACACTAGATATTTGAGTGTTCCAACTTTAACTTGATAAAATCACTAAACAAAGGCAATGAATGAACAAAGCTCTCAGAGATAGCAACTGCTTTAAATACCTCAAGTTTTCTTAGTCTCAAATAATCACCTATCTCAGTACTCCTGAGAAAGTTAGATTAGTCCAATCATTTTAGTGTCTGTGAAAACATTCCTCTACTATACCTGTCATGATTAAGTTAATGGAATGAAAGAGAAGACACTTAACTGTTAAAAGAATCAAAAAACAAAACAAAGCAGAATGGAAAGAAAGTGAAATGAAGCCAAGCCAAGTGCCTCTTACAAGGCCCAGGAATATCATTCAGGGCCTTCGGACATTTTCATGGCTTGCTACCTGCCTCTTACAGACCAGACAACACTGCTGGCCTCGGACTGGGCAGCAAGCCTTCTGCAGCCAGGGTATACCATGCCACCGTGCTGCACCACCCCTGTATCAATGTAAAAAAAACACTTGAAGAAAAGAGAGGGTGTGAGGAGTCTTTTTAAAATACATCCCACCAGGCAAATATTTCAGACAGCTTAACATAAAAATCTATTGATAAGGGGTTTAGAAACAACTGCCCAATTTGTTTTGTGTACCACATTAGATGCAACTAAGAACAGAAGTCTGTAGCCTTCTGTTGGTATTTAGCTTACAACTGGTTTTGGTGCATTGGACCCCAGGGCCAATTTAGGTAATGTTTTCTTAGGTAGGAGCTGAAGTTGCTGTTGGCTGCCTCACCGCTCATTTAGAGACATCTTGGTGGTGCTTTTTAGCACAACTTTCGGCGCTGACTGTGCAGCCATCTTCAAATCTCGAGAGTCTGTAAAGGACAACAGGCAAGACCAGTAAATCAGAATGGCCGTTTCACTTCTACAAGGGGCAAGGCCCAAATCAACAATGAATGAAAAGGTCTATAAGATTGAAGACCTAAGATCACACCAAACTCATTTCAAGTGCTTTTAAGTTTATGCTGGTTGCCTCAAAACTTCAAGGCCACAGGACAAAAAAAAAAAGTCTACCAAAACCCGGGCGCCAGGGGGTTATGCTCATAATCTCATACTTGGGACCCTGAGATAGGAAGATCGAGCACAAGTTCGACACCAGCCTGGGCAACTTAGGAAGGCCCGGCCTCATAGTTTGTTTTTGTTTTAAAGGTTAGCTAACAGGGAGTTTACCTGAGGGGCAAAAAGAGCTGGGAGAGCACGAGCAACAACTCAATTCCCGCGTGGGAGTATGAGGGGAGGGGGAGAGAGGAGGAAGGGGAGGAAATTTAACCCTAAAGTCGCCTCTGACTCCTGTTAAATCCTTTTTAAAGAGTCTCCCTACGATCCTCAAGGCGCTGGCTGTCAAGACGCCCAACTTCGCTCAATGGCCGAACAACTTGCCCTCGAGTCCGGACCCAGCGCTGACCGCCGGCGA